GCTCTCCCAGCTTAGGAGTCACAGACCTGAGTGCTCCTATCTCCACTGGGACCACTTCGGCCTTTTCTTTCCACATCCCCTCTAAGTCCTCTTTCAGGCCCTGGCACTTCTCCAGCTTCTCATACTCCTTCTTCCTGATGATGCCATCACTTGGCACCGCTACATCTATCAGCACTGCTGTCTTCTGGTCCTTGTCTACTACCACGATGTTTGGTTGATTGACCAGTTCCTGCCTGTCCGTCTGGATCTGGAAGTCCCACAGGAACTTAGCCCTGTTATTCTCCATGATCTTATGTGGAATGTCCTATCTGGACTTGAGAGGGTCTAGCCCATACACTGTGCAGATGTTCCTGTACACAATGCCAGTTACTTGGTCATGCCATTCAGTGTATGCTATTCCTGCCTGCATCTTACACCCTGCCACTATGTGTTGGAGTGTCTCTGAGGCCTCTGCACAGTCTGCACCTTGGGTCCTGTCTAGTGTGGTAGACCCCTGCTTCTATGGCTCTTCCCTTGTGAGGGTCTTTCATGATCAGCACTGTCCTTCCTTGTGCTAGCCAGTCTGGATGGGAGCCTGCTGCTGGCACCTGGTTCATCTTTGCTGCTAGGCATTCATGCACTGCTGTTAGTTTCTTTAGCCAGTAAGTGTGGATCATGTCGCAGCCAAGTGCTGTCCAGCTTTTCATGTTCTTGAGCCGGTGTTGGATATCTGCTATTGTGATGGTGACTGGTTCCTGTTCTGGGAGATTACTGTGGTCTGCTCTCAGGCCCTGCAGCCACTTTGCACTGGTGTTATGTGTCTTCTCTTTCTCCCATATGTACTTTCAGTACTGTTTAGTGTGTGCTGTTGGTGGCTCTGCTGTTACTGTGTTGTTGCACTGCAGTTGGGAGTATACCTTGGATGGTTCTTTGGAGAACAGGGCATTTATCTTCTTGGCTTCTGTTTCTCTAGTATATCCCCTTAGACTGGTAGCCTTCATTTTATAGCGGGGGGAGTGGAAGGGTGATTATGTACTGTTGTTCTGCTTGATCATGTAGCCAAGCATCTCCAGGATTACAATGGCTGTAGGGTATACCAGTTCATTCGTTTGAGTTATGGTGGTAGTAGAGATTGTTGTGAGGGCTCTATTGGCATCTTCTAGCATACTATCTGATGGTACTTCTCACCACTGAGTCTTGGTAATCGGTCTCAAGGATTGACTGTAGCTAGTTTATCCATGATCTTATGCCTCATATCTGCTGCTGTGCTTTGTAATGGGGTGGGGTGGGGGTGGCAGTGATGTTCCAGCTTCAGGTGTTGGCTGCCCATCCAGTTGTTCTTCTGGATCTTCTTGAGTCTGGAATGTAATGTGGAGCTGGTCTATCTCAGATTGTGAGAGCAGCTTCCTTTTCACTATTTTGAAGCATTGGGTAACTAGTTGTTTCTCAGTTAGTGTGGATGTAGTTTTCTATGCATCCATAGTTCCCTCATACGTTTCATATATCCCTTCTCATTAGGTCTCCTGCTGTAGTAGCATTCCATCAATTCCAGGTTTTTTTGTCTCATCCATATATGGTTTGTTCCAGTAGCCCACTTATCATCAGATTGTCCTGGTTCCCCAACATTTGGCACAGACCTTGTTAATCCAGGCAATGTCCGAGCCAGCATGACTCTGTTAGTTTGTCACTGTCATATCTGAGGTAGGCAGGTGAAGCATTAGGGGGTCTTTCCCCAAGGACCCCTACAGTTGGGATTTGAACCCCGATTTCCCATGTCAAGGGGTGGCAGTCTAACCACTACACTATCCAGCTGCCCGATACATAGATACATAGATACATATACATATACATATATTTTGGTGACTTCTCCCTCCACCTAAATTTGGCCCCTCTTTGGTTCACTTTTTGGAGAGCTCTTGGGCTGATGGACAGATGGAGTCCCCAAGCTCTTTTCTACAATTTCCTTTGGTCAGAAAGAATAAAAGCCTACAAGTAGGGGGAAGGAACTATAGATGTTTATATCAGGGCAGGTGTCAAGAGAAGAAAATGTGGGTTCATGACTTACCGCTTCCTGGTTGGTGCGTTGAAAAAAAGCCTGGCCAAACACAGCCATGACAAAGAGGTTGATGAGGAAGGAGACAAAGAGTGCAATGGTGGATTCAATCAGAAAGTACATATTTGCTTCTTTCACTGCCTTCTGGTTGGTGCGATCCACTTCTCGGGTCTGTCGGGAAAAGATGCGATAGTTTCTATCTTTACCTGTGCCACAGGATAGTCCTGTGGTCTTGCCCCTTCCCCATAGGACACAGGATGTCATGGTAGGGGGCTGCTGCATTAACAGCATGGGTGGCCTCTGGACACTTCCACCCAGAGCTTTGGAGCCAAGTCACTTTGGTCTCAAGCTGTGTTGCCCTTGTGCAGCAAAGCCAACCATCTTTCAGCCTGGCTTCCCCAAATGTCACATTGCAAAACTTCTGTTTCCCGACTGAAGATGTCTGAGTGATGAGAGCTCTTCCAACTCCCTCCAGCTGTGACCAAAAGTGAGAGAGGCATGGTGCTGATGGCTAGCCATGTTGTTGTTGTTGCTGCTGCTGCTGCTGCTGCTGGTCCTCCTCCTCCTCTTCTTCCTCCTCTCACTGTTCAAGGGGAGGGAGGGGGGAGGGAGGGAGGAAGAGCTGGCTGGCTCAGCTTGAGTTTTTGGAACAAGTGCAGGACAACAACCATGGGCTGTTCTGAGATGGGTTTGGGTGGGTTCACACTACATTGCAAAGCCTAAAACAAGTAAGTCATGTGATTTAGCTCAAGGTTTGGATCAAGCCTTTATCTGCTTAAAATCTATCCACAGCCAAGTTGTTTCCCTACCTGCAGAAGAAAAAAATGTATCTTTTCCTCTGCAGAGAGAAAATAGCTGGGGGAACATTCTGAGCACTAAGAAAAATATATATTCCTTCTCCTGCAATAATTCAGAAACCCTTACAGGTAGTCCTCGTATAGCGATCACAATTTGGACCTGCAACTTGGTCATTAAGCAAAATGGTCACTAAGTGAAACTGCAACTCTGCTTATGATCTTACTTCAGCTTTCCTTTGCTGTACAGATCTGCAAAGGTTGTAAATGCAAGGACTGATCGCAAAGTTACTTTTTCATCACTGTTGTAACTGTGAATGGTCGCTAAATGAGGCAGTTGCTAAACGAGGACTACCTATATTGTTATCTTAAATCTTGAAACATTGCAAAATATGTCATATATTTCCCATATTACTTCTATTAGGTTGTAAGTGCTAAAAACATGGAATTTTACCTGCAGAGAAGACCCAGAGACTATGCAAGAGATATGGCCTAAGCCATATCAGCAGGGGGCTATCCTGGTTTGCTTTGCTGGTGTTGCAAAATGCAGTCCCCCAATAAATGTCATATAAGTTGTAATAATGCTTTACTACAAGATAGTATATACTGACATTGGGGAATAATTTTTCTTCTCTTTGCCTTCTCCTCCATCATAAATGTATAACATTGTCATAAGCCATAGGGTCTGTGAACAACTTTGAAGACATGGAAGATGCCTTCCTATCCAATGGACAAGGAACTGTTGATCTATGCCCTGAAATAAAGTATCTACGTGCCAGCACTGACCTTGACAAGGGAAGAGTGTAAATAGATGTTATGGGGCATAATGATGGCTCCAATGATACCCACAGCCTGCAGAAGCTGCTCGTGTCCACAGTGTTTACAGTAAGGAATAAATATCCCTTTCAGTACCTCTTTTTGATCAGGATTTACAACCACGTACTGCAGAAAGAAGAATGGAAGTTTAGGCAATGCGGAGAAAGGCAAGATACACATTGCTTTCTTTTGGAATGGGATCATATCTCCTCCTACATTTCCACTGTCAAGTATGCATCTTCTAAATGGCAGAAACTATAAAAAGGGAAGATGGCCTCCAATCTTACAAGGAGCCCTGGAAGAAAGGTTAAGAGGAATTAGAGCACCCAGGGGATGGGAAACAAGTTAGATGTTTACTAGGGGCTGGGGAAGGTGTGTGTAGCCAAGAAGAGAAGAAGAGAAAAGATGAGAACCTAATGCTGCTGCACTATGAAAGGGCTTCAGATGTCAGCCTAGTGGTTGTTTATCTTGATTTGTCTGAAAGATGTGAGAATGTGCTGCAATGTAATTCATTTGTGAGTCCTAGGTGGCAAAGCTGTACCTAAAGTAAGAAATTCTCAATACATGGAACAAAGCACAGGCAATTACGTTCAGTCAACTTAGCTCCAGTGATTGACTATTGCTTTGATGCCAGTATACACAAAGATCTTTTTCCCTAATGCAATTTCCTTCTGGCATTCATTGTCACCAGATGTGGTCATGGCCATCATCCTGGATTTTTTTTTTTTAATATTAGACAAGTACATAGAGCACTGGTTATTTCAGGCTATTTGGAACCTCATCCTCCAAATACAAAATGCCGGAATACTTTTGGAAATCAGTCACTGGGTACAAATAAGAGGGAAGAAGCAGGACATATACTTTGGTTATGAGCTTCCTGGGGACATCTGGTTGCCATTGCTGGCCACTGAATATTGAATTAAATTAATTACTAGATCAGATATTCCCACCCAATAACATGCCCCTTCCCCAGATGTTAACTTGCTGGGGATTACTTTGTATCCTAGCACCTGTGTGGGGTACCAGGTTGGAGAAGACTACTCTGTTGGATGCTGGAGAGAGATTTTTTTTAGGACCAAAGGGTCAGACTGCTAGACGGCCTGGAGAAGAGTGGTTGAAATGTTCACATGTGGTGGAAGGGAGCATGCTTTACCTCATAGCCAAACGTTACTGCCATGATTGTAATGAGGAGGCCAAAAAAGGCTTCTAACTTCCTGAGACCTGCCAGGGAAAGAGGAAAGAGAAAGGTTTAATCTCCATAGGAGGCATTGGGATTCTCAATTAAACTATTCTCAGTCTGGTGCGCTTCTGAGGTGCTATGAGCAAAATTCTGAGAGCTTCCAGCCAGCAAGGCTACATTAATGGCTACTTCAAGCTGTTTTTAACATTTCACTTGGTACGACTTATTGTACAAGGCAAATAGGACTTATTTTCATGAAATCACACTGTGTCTTTATAATACCTTGAGTGCTCCTTGCTATTCTGATACAGCCAAAGATTCTGGATACACAGAAACAAATGCAGGTTTAAAATACAGGTTTATTTTCTGAAATAAAAGCTTTACACGCTCACGCATACATCCACTCATATGTACCTTACCAACTCAAAGGTAGCTAGCCTGGCTAAGTTCAAGTTCCAGAAGAACCAAGCTGGGATGTTCACCATCAGAGTGTCTTGTTCTAGGATGCAAAATGCTACCAATGCTACCCACTTTCTAACAAGGCTTGGCCAGTCCTAACTTGGTTTGGCCAAACCTGGTTTGGCACTCTTCTCACACCTCTTGTTAGTTTTCCACCCGGAGCCACCGCCTCATGTAGGTCACATGAGTACCATCTATTTTTGGGGGGGAGGGGACTATATTTTATTGTGAGAACCGTTTCTTATTTTGAGAACTTTTGCTTGTATCTTCACAGAAAATTTCATTCTAGTACCGTACCAACCGCTGCAGAAGCAGACATCTACTATAACAATCCTTATGCTTTGTGTGGGCCACCTGTACTCCAACTTACATACATGTCCATTGTACTTGCTCATAAATACATAGCAAAAACTCCATAGCATTCGTAGTATGATAGCTCCAGATACTGTAATATACAGGCGATACATAGTGGTGATATTAGTATTGGCATTACAATATATGGGTATATCATTAACTACACAGTACCCAAGCTCTCATAAACTTGAATATCTCAATAGATGACTCAGCCATGTACTGTATGCTTTCCTTCCCTCTGGCCCAATATTTACCATATTTGTCTAAGAAGAGGAAGAAGAAGGTGTCCACAATTGTGATCAAGACTCCACCCCACAAAGGGATACTGTAAAAGAGAAAGTAAAATTTTATCATTGGAATAGAATTGCACAAAACTGACTATTTCTCAGGCTACAGTGAAGATTCAGCATCCTGCTATCATAAGCATATGTCTGATTGAAAGGGAAGGAATCACATATGCATAAATCCAGGAGGGCTGGTGCTTTTTATGTCAAGTTTAACTGCAAAATTTCAGTCTTGTAGGATTTTTGTGACCGAAGGATAGGTAAGGGATAGATTAGATACATAGTTGTGTCAGCAAAACACTTATTGAGGGGCCTCAGTTTTGGCTAAAGGTCTATCTATAGCCGTGTTTCTCAACCTTGGCATCTTTAAGACGAGAATTCTGGGAGTTGAAGTCCACTCATCTTGAAGTTGCTAAGGTTGAGAAGCACTGATCTCTAGTGTCTTTAATTCAAGGGATTATAGAAAACTGCTTTCTGCTAAGCCAGGCCAGAGTTCCAGCTGTCTTTCCACATGGGTCTTTTTATTGGTTCATAATCAGCACTGGGTTTGTATAGTATTGTGACATCAGCGTGTCTAAGAGTTGAGCCAATGCACTGTTGGTTCAGGTGCAGCTTATCTGCTTTTGGAGCAAAGCTGTTTTCTTCACGTGAAGTGCTGCAGTTCAGCAGAGCTGACCGACAGTCCATTTTCCCACAGGCAGAAACTCTTTATCACTCACGGCCAATTTCTTTCTCTCCCCACCCTTGCTTAGAGATCAAGAGGTCATAACATTTCAAGATGGGTGAAAGTGAAGTGCAGATCAGACTCCACTTGGTTTTGAGGAATTGGGAGTGCATTCTCCCAATTCTGCTCTGATAGAAACTCTTCAAGTTTTAGATGGGAATCTTTTCCAGCACTACCTAGAGGGGATAGAACCTGGGAGCTCCTCCTTGGGGGTGATGGGTGGCATATAAATTAAGTATGTAAGTAAGTAAGTAAATAAATAAATAAATAAACGCATGCATGCAAGTCAGGTGTTCTGCCGCTGAGTTATAGATCTTCCCTAAAGAGTATCCCTTACTTTGCATTAACTTCTGATGGCCATCAAATTGGGGAAGGCTGTTCTAGACCCTCAACTTTGAAGTACTGTATTCCTTGTTTCCATAACTGTGTCTTGACCAATCTGAAACACATGATCAGGCAATATATGACAAAAGTTGCAGAGTCTTGCATTGGCAATCCCTGACCCCAACCATTTTGCCAGGAGGATATTTAACATGGGGAGGAATTATGCCTGACCTGCAAAGAGCAGAGAAATGACAGCGTTGGCTTCACCTGATATGACCCCAATCTCTCCTGGTTCCAGGAATCTATAGAGACCCAGTGGTAGAATCCAGAGTTTGGTGGTGCGAGAGCATTCACGGCAGTTGTCTCTGAGACCTGCCCATTGCTTTGCCTTGTGGCTATAGAAAAATAGGGATCTTACCGTCCAGCTGAGAGGAGGTTGAAAGCAATTGCTGTCCCAATCACTTCCTGCATATCAGAGCCAATTATAGCGATTTCAATCATGATCCAGATCAGCACACGTGGGACCTACAGCAGAAAGGACAAAAGCTAGACTTTTAGAAGATGTAGAGGAAAAGTTGATGCACTGAGATTTCTCAATGCCTTTTTCTAACTTTGGCTTCAGCAGATAGAAACTCAGTGGCCACCATTCACACATGACACTAATCTAGGGATGGGCTATACTTCCAGTGACCATATGTCCTTTATTATAAAGGACAGTCCTTTATTTCAGAAAGCTGTCTTTTAGATTTATTTATTTTTCAAAAGCTCACTTTCGTCCTTTATTTTGGTCATATCATCTTTAATGTATAAATGGTACCACTTAATGCAAAGTCTTTCACTTTCATGTGAAAAATATGGAAATTGAACTGTCTTTTTAAAATAAATTCATATATATTGTTTGATTTTAGATTAGAACATGCAATTTTGTAACCTTTTCTTGGTTTTGCTCTTGAATTTTCCTTTGTAAAGGTAAGTTACAAACATAAATAATTAATTTTTTTATCCTTATGAACTTCTTTCAGATTTGCCCCCTTTTCAGGTTTGTCCTTTTTTTTTTCACGAAAATATAGTCACTGTAGCTATATTTAAAGGTCAGGACACCTGACCTTCTGGGCTGTAGGAGGCCCATAATGATAACCAGACATTTCCTGAAGGTTCGTGGCTGAGTATTTTCGACCCATTTTTCACTTTGCTTGTGTGTGTATGTGTATTAAGAGTAAGTATGTGAAACTGAAGCCTCCCAAGGGGTAATAACTCCCATCCCACCCTAAAAGCAAAGAAAATGCCTTACTATTTTTAGTCACAGAATATCACTAGATAACACTCAGAAATAGCCTGAGAGACCTGTTGGGGTGTAGAGCATCTCCATGCGGGCAATCTCTTACTTGGGCCACTTTAAAGGTACAAAACCATCCCGAGTTTTTGCCAACTCTATTTCACCCCACCCACTGCCCATTAAAGAGAATGTGGTTGTCTTTCCTTCTGGCTGCTGATGGTGTTGGAGGGGAAACACAGTGAAAGGAATCCACCAATTGCCACCCTTAACGTATCCCACGTTAAGGCTGAAAAGAACAGTTCTACTCATTGGCCTCCTTAATGAAGCATAGAACAGCTAGGCTGTGGGGGCAGTGCCGGTGATGTTGGCATACGTCTTGGCCAACTCAAGGCCTGGAGGAATCCATGTTATTGCAGCAATGAAAGAAGGGTCATAGGACTAGGTTGCCATCGGCAACCATGCCTGAGTAACTCAGATTTGGCAACAGTCATCCAGAACTTAGCCATCTCCCTTCTTACCAATTACAGTATATTTTGGAAAAAATAAAAATGTCTGGAATTGGCAATTAGTGCAAAAGAAGTAGATAGGCTGATACACAACACAACAACAAAATGAAACAAAAAATGGGCCCAGGGATCACAGGGTGCCCATGAATAAAGAGCTGCAGTGATTACTTTCTAAGCCCATTGGTGTTAATTCTGAAGCCTTAAACCTTTAAGGCCTGACTATCTGAGGGACCAACTCTCAATACAATCTGTAGGAAAGGCCCTTCTGAAAATGTTCCTGTTCTCAGATGGGAAATAATTTTTTTTTTTTTTGCACCACTCCCAGTTATGGCTTGCACTTCCTTGGAAGTTGCATTTGAATCCCACTTGCTTTGCTTTTAGAAAAGGGCCAAAATCTTTACAAGGTTAACAGTGAATGATCTTATTGTTAATTTTTTAAAAAATGTATATCTCCTTATTCTTTGGAATCTGCATTTATGTGTGCGTGGTTTCAAACAGAAAGGCAACATGTAAATCAACTAAACCAAAAAATACTGTTTGTAAACCATAATTTATATTTTAACATTTTGCATGAAACCAGCCTTTATGGCTTAACCAATAAACCATGATCAGAAACAACTGTGGCTTAGTCTGGCATACATATGAAACCAAATCATGCTTTGTTTACCTATGGTTTATTATATAAACCACAATTGCTTGGTTCCCAACAACAATCAAACTATCTACATCATGGCTAGGTACAATGTGCAAAGACAGAGAAAGAAAGACAGATGGAAGCCAGTTTAGTTTCTTTTGCAAATACCACTGTGCCACTGAATAAAGCAGAATTTGTAGCCAATGCTTGCAAAGTTACTGCCTGCTGCACATTTATACTCACCTTGGGATAGTAGTGATAACATATCTCTCCTAAGTCCTTGCCTGTAACTACCCCAAGCCGAATAGCCAGCCTTTGGCAGACCAGACCCAAGATTGTGGCCCAAAGCAGGACCCAGAGCAGCTGTGTAGGGAGCAAAAATACATGGTCACATAGCACAAAGTGATTTCTGCAACAATACAACAATACCTAAACAGGACTTAGATGTATCATTTTTACATAGCTTCAGCATATTGGGAGAGAATCTCAGAAACACACGTCCATACAGCATGGTGAGTCAATTACAGAGAGTAGAATGAATGGGGACAACTCTGTAAAGTCCCTGTGAATTTAGAGGTTGAGCACTGAGAACTGGAGGTATGCAGGTATTCTCCTGTTTCCAACCTTGGGATGGGCTTGAATAATTGAGAAAGATGAAAAACAATGTGTATGTGAATTAATCTCAAAGAAAGTACAGAGAAGACATTGCAGGCTATGTGTTGTGTGGGCCTGTCCTCCATTTCTTCACATACTCACTTGAAAGCCAGCGACAGCTCCACACTGTAAGTCTGACTCGATATTTCCTGGATCCAGGTAGGCAATACTCATGAGGAAACCTGGCCCGGTGAAAGCCCAAAGTTTTCTGAAACTGAAACCGTACTGGAGAACAAAGATATGGAAAATTCAGTGGAAGAGCTAAAGGAAGAAAAGTCATCACAGCTTTATCATACTTGGATAGCTCATTCTGCTGGATCAGGCCTACAAGATCACTCTTCTTGTCAACCAACAATAGCATCCCTTATAGAAACCTGAAATAAGCAGTATCACTTTGAGCCCAATTAAAGAATTCGCTCCTCTCCCTCATGCAGTTCAATACTATTTGTGTGCGTATGTGTATGTGTGTGTGTATATTTATGTGTGTGTATGTGTGTGTGTATATATATAGGTATACACACATATACACACACACACACACACACACACCTCTGAATTCTGCATAAACACTTCCCTTTTCTTCTAAATTGCTTCTAGCCTTTGCCTAGGACAAGGCTGGACAGTTGTGGCTTGGAGGCTGCATGAAGCATCAACATCTCCTACTGATCAGCATAATCAATGGGCTGGCAGGAAAGGAAACTGCATGACTCCTGCCAACCAGATGTTTCCGTAGTGGCAGCAGGAGTGAGGGGGGAACTCAGAAATTGGCAGAAGGGGTGAGGCAGAAATCCCTCCCTGCCAGGGAGCAGTTGCCTGCCCTGCAAAACTATTTTGAAGCATTTTCTCTGAAGCAGCAGCCAAGCCAAAAGTTAACTGATTCCACTTGCAAAGACCAAAACTAGTCCTGCAGTATCCTGGAAACTCAGGGACACAGCCTTGATCTTGGACTGGTGCAACCCTTGCAGGTGAAAATAACCTTAGCCCCCTATCCATTTTTTTCACATGTTCTACAACTTTCCAGCCACCCAAGTTTCACAATCAGAGGGAAGAAGATACCCATCCTAGAACTCTAAAAATAATTTCAGATATGATCAATTCCCTTTGACATTCTTATATCTTTCAGGAAGTTCAGAGGGAGGTCTCTTCAAAAGAGAAATCTGAGAAGATGAGTTCTCCAATATGATAAAAGGCAAAGTCCTCTTTGACTCAAATTTGCTTCCTGATAGCTCCATGTAGTTTTCTTGGCAACAGCAGAGAGATGATTTGCCCTTGCCTTTTCCTGGAATGTCTTCTCACCTTCTCAGTCTATCCTACAGCTCTGAGATTTGCTGGTGGTCTCTCATCCAACTAGATTGCTCAACTTTTCAAGATCAGTCAGAGCTGGTTAGATGGTGCTACCTGGCATGCTGTGTGCTCTAGCACTGGAAAGCAAGAGTGTGCTACTGTGCACTCCTTTTTTTAAAGTCATCACATCTCAAAATTGCAGTGCAGATATAATCAAGTACAATCTAATAAAATAAAAAGAGGTTTACTGCTACTTGGTAACCCCAAATGGAAAACTCTATACTATTTGGAGATGCATAGAATGGGAACTGGCTGGTTTTCATACAATTATAAGCAGCATATCTAAGCTATGATTTCCTTAGTCAATTCCACCCTCAGATCTGACTTTGGACTTTGAAGCAGCTTTGACCGCACCAATTAGGAATTAAGGGAGGCAAAGCCAAACATACTTAAAGGACACCTGGATGAGGAAAGCTGGTTGGGACTGATCTGCAACTGAAATCTGCAGGAATTTCTGAAATCTGAATACAGAACCTGAAGGTTCAGAGGCAGCCAGAAATTGAACTGGGAGGGTTACCTGCAAAGAATGCAAGTGGCAATACTCCTTTTTCTGTCAAGGGGTTGCAGTAATCGGAAAAGCTAGACTAGGAAGGATTTTATTGTCAGTGGAGCATCTAAAAATGTCAAAAATCCTTTTAAGGACCAATGGTCTGGAAAAGCAGTTAGTCTGGTTATATCTCCAATCATTTCCAATAGCTCTTTATTTTCCAGTGTTCAAAAGAAAGCCTACATTCCCCCAGTTCCTCAGGACACAGATATTATGTTAATTCTATTAAAAAATAAAGCTTGCTGGGGACTGTGCACATATCCATGGTTTTTTTATAACAATAGTATAGAAAGAGTTTGTTGTGGTCTTTTCCAGTATGTTTTTTTCCCCCCCAGTTTCTCAGCCTACCTGGATAATAATCAGAGAGAGAAGTAGGTTACAGGTGATCTTGCAGAACGGCTGTATTTACCCATCATGCTCAAGCCATAATGTGGTTCATTAGCATGCTGTGTAGGCCCAATTATGTTGTGGGGCTGATCGTTCCAAAAGGGCCTTCTGGTGAATTCCATGTCCACAGTCAAGAGTGCAACCCCAGGACAACAATTAATGTGCAAACTCATAGCCAAAGGCTTACCCCACCAACATCTGGAATGCTGATCCTCTCATCCAAGTAGGTTTGATCCTGGTCCTTCTGGTGAACATGTGGCTCTGGTAAATCAGTAGCACCATACTGAGTTTTCCTTCTAATTTTGTTGCCTAGGAAAGTTCAAAGGCAAGGAGAGGTCAATAAAACAGGCACAAATGAAAGGAACTCTAGAAAGTATCCTGTAATGACTGAAGCAATACTGCTATGGTTTCTGCTACAATAACAGTATTTAGCATTTTCTTGTAATATGAAAATTCCTTCCCTCCCCAGTTTTCAGCTCTCCCACAGGCAGTCTCTGGGAACATTTTTGGTGCAATATCAATACCTTGCAAGTATTTAAAATCTTGACAGCAGCAGCCTTGACAGCAGGAGGAGTGGAGAAGTTCACAATGTGATTAAACAAAGACCTGCTGGAGCAAATCAAAGGAACAACAACCTCTTTTCCTAGACTGGCCTACCACATATTTCTGGGAAACATATTATCAAGGCATGAAGGCCACTGCCTTCCATTGCTGTGGTTCCCCAACATGTATTATACAATGGTATGCTGCCTCTGAACCTTCAGGTTCTGTATTCAGCCATCATCATGGTTTAAAAGCTACTGATGAATGTGTCCTGCGTGAGGTTCTGTAATCTGATGAGAAGTGTCCTATAGGAGAAAAAGTGGGAATTCCAGTGGAAACATGCCATTTGAAGCACTATGCCTGCATTGTGCACACACTGTAATACTAGCCTGCAATTGTGAGAAGAGTTCCCAGGCAAAAAAATAACATAGTTGTCATCTCAAGTGATCACTGAACTTCTAACTCCATGAACAGTTGCTATGCCAATCTCAAATACGACATAACCAACCTCCCACTTCTTAGAATCATCACAAAATGGTTTGTAGTCAGAGAATTCAGTTAACTATCTTTCTGGGACCAGCAGTCCTAACACAAATACCCACAATTAAAGAAACAGAGAAAGTGCTTCCAAAGAGTTGGTCTCTCACACCATTCTCCCCAAGAAACTCTGCTGATTCTCAAATTTTCCTCCTAATTTAATTTGTAACACGAGAGAGTATCAAATGGAAGGTCTTCTCTGGACATCTCATCTCACTACAACTTGAAAAACGAAATTGAGTAATTGCATAGTAAAAAGCATGTCTCTAGGCAGCCATAGAATTGCTCCCAAGAGAATGGGAAATACTTTGTTGGTACATATTTCATCTTGAGAAAAAAGATAAAATATGCTTACAAATGTAAATATATCTTTACATCACTTCTAAGTATATTAAAGAAAGAATATCCATACCTTACCCTGTTCCTGCATATCTCGTCCCACTTAGTTCTTGTACAGTACAGCCCAAGTAACTTTACTACCATCTGGTTTATAAACAAATAGCCTTTTTTTCTGATTAGACTCGCCGTCTGGAAAAACCAGCTTGGTGAGGTATGCTGATACCTCCTAAGCGGTGAAAACTTATTTGCATATTCAGCTAGGGATGGGCATCAGCAGTTTATTGCAAGATTTGAAAGTATTCTGACCATGAAGAGGTTGATGTAAAACTCCTATGTTGAATATCTGCATAAAGTGTGTTACATTGCTATAGATATTCTAAGCCAGCCCTCAAGAGACATATTAAAATAACTATGTGGGATCTTCTGCTTTTCAAAGGAATTTTTTTTTTAATGTTGTGGTAAATGAGTCAGGTAAGGGAATGAGTCAGGTAAGGAAATGTGAATGTTTTTTTGCAGATACAAGTAAATTATTCTTATGGAAACTTTTGGCAGATAATTTCTTCAACTTCTAAAAATTATAGAAATCTATCTTCTAGCATCCCATCTATTCATTGTACTTTTCCTCATATTTAAAGATACTTCTTTTGTCACATAGCTTTTGGAGATTAAAAACATAAATACTTTGGAGATTAAAAACACATATATTTTCATTTTCCTAAAGAAAACCATTTGGAGTGTTAGCCAGTCAGATGCCAAAAATAAATAACAATGTACATGAAAACATGGGCTCTTATGTACGGTACCTTATAAAGCACAAGGTGTAAATTCAATGTGTACAATGAATAGATGGGATCCTGGAAGATAGATTTCTATAATTTTTAGAAGTTGAAGAAATTATCTGCCAAAAGTTTCCATAAGAATAATTTACTTGTATCTGCAAAAAAATAACATTCACATTTCCTTACCTGACTCATTTATCGATACATTAATTTTTTTTCCTTTGAAAAGCAGAAGATCCCACATAGTTATTTTAATATGGGCTCTTATGTACGGTACCTTACAAAGCACAAGATGTAAATTCTTAGTTCAGTACAGTCTCTGTGTTGGCTTAGTCCATCAAATAAAAATAATACTAGGCAGTATGGGATATATATATATACTGTATATCATCATGGTAGCAGACAAAGACCAGAAGACAGTGGTAGTGATAGATGTAGCAGTGCCAAGTGACAGCAACATCAGGAAGAAGGAGTATGAGAAGCTGGAGAAGTACCAGAGCCTGAAGGAAGAATTACAGAGGATG